CATCCCTCCGAGTCTTCTCCAGCTCCGGGACGGGGAGGCTGCTGCCAACCTCAATCGAAACGTTACCCCCGTATCCATACGCGTGAAATGCCAGCCGGGTTCCTGCCCAGAACCTATCCTGAACACTAAAAACTTGCAACAGTAAAAGATAATATATGACATATTTGATAGAAAGGTCAAGATTATGCAACAGCTCAACTTAAGTCTCAATTAAAGAGCAAAACATTATCGCAAGTGGCATCCAGGGTAAGCCTATGATAACTAGGAGATCGATTTGGCAAAGATAAGTTGCTGCAACTTGAGGGCGATAGGCTTATCGAAGTTTTGTATAAAGAGATAGACACAGAGACTTGGATTAATGATCGAAGTAACTTAAATATGCCTCAAGGAATAGTTTACAATTAAACACATCATCTACCACAGCCAACATCAAAGCAATACTGGAGTATACAATATTTTCGCAGCTAGCTAACTTATCCAATGAGTTTATGTGTGCATAGTGCACATGAGATAAAGACTGTATATAATACTGTAGGCATGAAGGTACATGCTAATATTCAGTGTTCTGACAAACGTCCCAAAGCCGACGTTTGAAGCAAATACCGAAAAAAATACAGAGGTTTCCTGGAAAGGAAATAAGCAATGTCTCCCCCTAGTATGTAGTAACAGACGTAACAACACCCTGAAATTAGGATTACAAGTGAATAAGAAATACTGTCAGACTTCTACGTTCAGTGGTATATAGCTTGCTAGATGTTGTCAGCGTGGATACTCGTGTTAGAACCATCAAATCATGAATTCTACTGCTTTGCGATACGCCAGTTGGTGGATACGCGCTGCAATAATCTTGCAGTGGATTACCAGTATTCGCCGGAAACACGCAAGCAGTTATAATAAGAATATAGTATTCACGTTGCAACTATAGAGTCTAGACCTTGTTGAGATAGTTATCCCCCATCCCACGCAATCTTGTTGAATTTGAGCAAAACGACAAAGAGATAACAAAGAACTGCAGTACAAAAGGGAATTTAAAACCACTTGATAATTTAGTGGTCAGTCCAGTTGACAGTCAGCTGTCCCTCAGCGACGTTGTTGTCCTTGAAGGGAATGCTGCCACACTGGCCACAGCCGTGGGAGGATAGTCCCTGTAGCATACCCAAGGCTTCTCCAGCTGTAATCGAATTGCTAATGCCCTGAGTGAAGGCGCAGATGTTGCCACCAGGGATACCGCAGCAGGCAATGTGCTGCCCAGGGCTGTATGATGTGCTGGGATCCTGCTGGCTGACCTGCAAGATCAGATCGGAGAGTCTGCATTCGGGTGTACCGACGCAGTTGGCGTTTCCACGACAGTTGATGCCAAGGGCCGCTGCAGCGGTGTACAAGAATGGGAGCACAGCGAGGAATTGCATTCTGGATCAGTTGTTAGAGACTAATTCTGCTAATACATCAACTGTGAATCTTACTTAGATTGAAGTTGAACAAGAATGTTTCAAATTTGATGGGGTTTGTTTTGGTTGTTGGTTGTAGCTTTTGAGAGCTGTAGATGTGAAGTGCGTGTTGAGTTGGGTTGATGAAGTTCGATTCATTGCTGCGGCCAAAGCCCATCTTTATACATTTCGAAAACTTCACATTGATGTGGTCCTGGATATCAAAGTTGCATAGTTGAACCGTACTTGGACTTTGTCGCCTAGGTGCGTCAAGGCTGTAAGCCTCATTGCCCCCTTTGTACGCAGGGATGTCAATCAGCAATGCAGATCGAAGTAAGCATAGAACATATCGATTTGGAAACCTCCTCTTTGAAACCCCGCCTTATTGTCCCAAAAAGCAAGATCGCCGGAGATCTGCGACTGCGGTCGCTGTATTTATAGTGCTTCTAGCGCCGAAGAACATGCAATCTTCGTCGGTGATTGGTGGATTTGTAAGACACATTCTAGTCGCGATCTGCATTCATGTCAAAAATAGCTGTAAATGAATAGATCTTGAGGCACGATCTGCGCGCGCATAGGATACTTTCATAGTGCCTGGTATGAAGTGCCGTCTGAATTTTCTTGCCATAGATCATAGCATGCCTGTTACTTTTAGGAAGTAATCACAGGCTTTTGCAGTAGTGAAAATGATCCTGTTAATTCGCCGGAATATCTACTTGGCATATGTTAATATCTAACAGCTGATTAAGATGCACGAGCCTACTGATGCAGATCATTATACAGCGGAAACTGCATTTTGTCTGTGCTTTTCACTAAATCATCTCTTCATGACGCAATCTGACAGATTTGTTGACATATCAAGCTCAGCTCGTATGTAATAAGGAAATAGTTGAGGGCACGATCTACGTTAACATTATACTACAATATATGAGTTCCTGTTGATGATCGTCGTTAAGTTCCTGTCGATGATCGTCGTAATGTCAGACCTCGCTCCATTTTGAGCGGCCGCGCTTCTTTCATGATGCAATCTGACAGGTCTGTTCATGAAAGCGATCTTTTTACTACGAGTTCTTACTGTTGTATTTTTTTTTAGAAACTGTTTGACTCGAAACTATGTGTGCCTGACTCTAGGTGCTAGGATAATGCAATGAGCTATGAGGCTGGTTTCGTAGGGACACGATTTAGCATGATATAGTCCTCCACGCAATTGTATATAAAGAGGGCTCTTTTCCCTTCAAAACAGAAAAAAGAAACAATACACCAAGCACCAAAATCAGTATCTCATTACACACAGAAAATCCAGTCTCTAAGTTTTTGACTACACATTGTTCAAGGTTTAACATAACCATGGCATCAATTGTTTTCCATCCCCAAGGCTGTTCCTCTGGAAACAGTCTTGTGACGCTGGTTTCAGCTGGGTCAGCGGGTACCGGTACATGCTTTTTCAACGATGGCGCATTTCCAAACTCCAATCCAGCCGGAGGATACGAGGTACGCATATCACCACTATATCAGAGCTGCTTAAGACACTTCTTACTAGCTTTTGAGCCTTTGCAAAAATTGATAGTTTATAATACTCACATGCGTGGAATAGATCCAAGGCATGCCGTCCACAGTGTCGGTTGTCTTAACTCAAGGTCCAACCGATGGTACAACTTGTGGCGAGGAGATAATTGCTCTGGAACACCAGAATGGATGCTACGATCTTCCAAATCTTTCCAATAGAGTTTGGTGGCAATTTTGCAACACTGGAAAAGATTGCCCTGGATTATCCCAGAGACGCTCTTACCCGCCACCAAGCATGTCGAAGAAGGTGGTTCGGGAGAACAAGGACACCAAAAGCCAAGGTGTAGTCCATACCGATGACAAGGGCGACTATCTCCTCAACTTCGCTGGTCAACGTGTCCCAATTCTGTACCGCAATGAAACGGATCTGGAAAACCTAGAATTGGATGATTCCCCTCTTCAGAAGCGACAAAGCCAGACATTCACCCCGCCCGACAACTGCGTCCTGGACTCCGGCACATGCCAATCCCTGGCTGACTCTGGTCAGCTAAAGGCTCTTTGCGTCGACTGCCAGCTGGGCGTAGGAAACGGAGTCAAAGCGTCAGGAACATCAATGATTGACTGTCGAAACTCTGGTGGGCCATGCCCAGTCACATTCACCGATTCGGTGACCGTAACCGACACCATTTCCGAAAGCATCACTTTTGGAGCCAATATCGGTGATACAGGCGCAGAAGGTGAAGGTGTCCAAGGAACTGCAAGCTTTGGCTTTGGAGTGAGCGTTTCTGTCGCTACTTCGCATGGCACAACCCAGGGTCTGCTGATTCCCCAAGGCAAGATTGGCTTTGTTCAATTCCAGCCTCAGGCTAGACTGGGCACTGTTGTTACGACAAGCTCAAAGGGAAATGTTTGCGACAGCTCAGGGCTCAACAAGATCTGTGGAGCTCAGCCTGGTATTCTGGTCAGCAGCTCGAATGATGCTGACGGCCAGTACAGCATTGTTCTCAGCAGCTAAGCTTCGGGAAGAGTAGCATACGATACACTGTCTTGGAGTTGGTGTATACGATTGGCTGGGAGATGGGTACACAGCCTGGCAGGGGGTGGTTTCTTTTTTACTTTTTGTTTATGCAACACAGAATTTTGTAGCTGAATTACTTATAAGTAAATACAAATATGAAGCTTTAGAATATAGTTAGTTTATGCGGAATTTATACTTCAAAACAGCATTCGTTCTTCCCAAAAGTACAGTGCATCTCCAGAATGCAGATATCTCAGAATTTTTCCAACCGATCTAATGCCTTATTTTTATCAAATTTGCTAGTAACAGAGTGTGTTATTATAATATAAAATTCTTAATAAATGAGAAGCAATACTACTGTCAGTCGTGAACGTGCTATTATCAACAGCACCTACTCGCTTTGCTTTCCATAGATAATGCTCTTTTCTGTGTAGGCATCCAGGCACTAAGTTTATAGAGCCCCCCTCACTATAGTACATCGAACGACTTATTTGACTGGAGAGTGTTGACTAGCACTCACGTCAGGATCTGCTTCCAACCTGTCCCGCGATCTTGCTTGGATACATCTTAAGGCTGTTGCAATTTCTGATGCAGCTTAACGGGCGAATTTTTTGCTAAGAAATTGATGTGAAGGCCATCAGTGGATAATTAATTCAGTTTGGTGGATGGGATAAACCCTCAGAAATATTCCATTAGTTGAAGTTGCGAGTCACACTGAATCCATATACGTCTGCTATGTACCCCATGATAGATCGAATCCACTGTAATATAACGGCAGAATCGCTTTTCTCGTTGATGGTACCCTCTGTTTTGTGACTTTTGTTGTCAAATTCTCTCGCAGGGTGGAATGCTGTAGTATGAATGGCATCCGACCCTTCTTTCATCTCGTTAGATATTGGTCCTGGTGCGCCATTGGCGGCGGTAAAATTCCCTAGTATAGCGTTAATGAAACTCTTTGATGGCATAAATTTTTACTTACAGAACTCGCCTTGTAAAAAAGCATTTAGCATGGGCCTAGACTCATTTTCTGATGATGGTTCAATGAATAGCTGTGCAACTCGAAGAGGAAACATGGCAAAATAAGCTCCTGCAGGTCCGTGGTTTGGTTGCAGCATAAATTCAATGCTTCGACATATCTCATAGCCCGCTAAATTCCACGCTGGTAATTCGTGTGGAAATGCTAATGCCGGATTAGTTTTATGCGCATATAGCGAGCATGCCATACCAGTATAGTGCCCTGTTGTTTTTGCGCGTTCAGCGTCACTGTCGGAAAATCGATGAAGATCTGAGACGCTACGTGAAGAGTCGAAAAGCTGAGATGTTGGAAACTGCTTTAATTCATCCAAACTCCCCAGTTGGAATGCCATGTCGCAGAGAAACAGCATACAGCAGTTGTAGAGGTTTGTCTCAATAGCTCGCTGGAATGAGCTAAAGACTAAACGCGATTCGAATAAGGGTTCCCCTGCTGTATTTTCAATAGGTAACACGATGCTTGAGTGTTTTTCACCCGCCGGTATCTCCCAGCAACAAGAAGGATTGGATACTTCCCACAACCACCGCACTTGAAGTAGCTTTGTGTAAAGGCGGAAAATTTGGCGTGTTATGGAACGTCGGAGGGCATCTGGATCGACAGCCAAGCCTCTTGAGAGTCGGTTTCTTTTCTCCAACAGACCCGGGATACAACAAAGAATATCTATATATGAATTGTGGATTGATTTAGGTTTTGGTTGACCACACCATGGAACCTCTTGCCACGATGGTTCTTCCAAATACGTCTGTTGCACATCATCCAGGTGGGCGACGACCTTGAACTGTTAGTAAGCATATGTTTAGATGCTACAGGGTTAAGAAACGTACGATATGCATTCTTGCCTGTTCAAAAACTTGTCTCATAGGTTCCTGATGGAACGCAGCAGGACCATAATTGTTGATCAGAGCTTCCAGTCCACGAACATGCTCTTTCCAAGCGCTCTGAGTTGTAGGGGCTATCCACTGTGTTTGATGTATGTTAGTAACTGTCAGAAGACTATTGTATTTAGATGTAAGAAGAAAATATCCGTGGAGTGCAGCTGGCGAACTATACCTCATATAGAACCATGTTCATGATAACTACTAATAGCGGTGCACTAGTGGTTACTGATTGCGGATTTGTACCAGATTGAAGGGAGATCACAGCTCTTAACTGATCCAAGGTTTGCCAATGTAACCTAAATGCCTGGTGGACTTGAGTTAGGTTTGGAGCATGTTTCCCGCACATGTAGAGTGCAACCGATTCAGCTGATGTGCCAAGCATTGGAATCACTGCTAGGTCCGTAGGGTCTTCATTTTTCGATACATAAGAGAGCTCAGTGGAGTACCTCAATAGAATCCTGTCCACAAATGCCCGTACTTCATCATATCTGGAGGCTTGACGCTCAAATGAGTCGCCAAAGCCAACACCAAGAGGTTGGAAGTGGAAATGGTAAATAGATGCCGAAGATGGCATTCGCACTCCGTCAAGATCAGATGTATGAGAGATGGCTAATTGTGGTTTCAAAATCTTATTTGGCGGCTTCGTCACCATTGCTCTAATCTGGTTCGTCTGGTCAATAAATACCGTCGGTCGTTCATAGCCTAGGCACGTAAATGCACCGGCTTCGCAGCGTTGGCAGGATGGGCGTCGCGCATCTGATGAAGCCCTCTTACAATTAATACTAGCCAGTAAAGCCTATGAATGTGATTCGGACATACCGCATCGTACATGACGGAGTTTGCATGTAATGCAAGCTTTGCTACGCCCTGCAACACCGACCATAGCTAAGACACGGCTGGAGTGGGTGCGATAGTGTGACAGTCAAAGAGGGGCAGGTGTTCAAGAGACCTGCTAAACTGGCATCTTGGCCTGTAAATGCCTGATCGCGTACATGTAGCCATAAAACAAATCCATATGGCATTGTACTTACCCAAGATAAGTGAAGGAGAAATGTATATGAGAAGTCCAGATCTCGCACACCTCCAATGATGATAAGTACATGTATTGGCAACAACGCCCCCAGCTGCCGGAAGCATTGGAGTAAAAGCCCGCTTTTCAGCCTGCCTTACTGGATTTGGAATCGCTTAAGCGACTCTTGCGCGCGGCTCTCAGATTGTTTCCGTATATGGATAGTGCATTGCTCATGAAACCCACCAAGGCGGTAGGGCAGCATCTGGTGGACAATTACATGGCCTCTATCGTATACAACTTTATAGCAGCAGACCGACGGTGGTTTTTGTCTCCCACCTGAACTGGAAGTAAGTTCTAACGCATGGAAATACCAGTTAGATAGATCATTAGGCATCCCTTGTATGTACATGGCTTGATGGCATTCAAAACACGTTCAACTGGGCAGTTTCGCGTGCCAGAAGGCCGATGCCGGCCGATGCTTGCTGTTACCAGTGTCGTGTGCATCTCGTATTAATCCTATCAATACATTGGATATGAACTATATTCTTAAGTTGCTGTGTACTCTCTAACTGGATATAAGTTGATTCATAAAAGAAGATATATATAATTCATCACTAGAAATGCTGATAAAACATGCGGATCGAGACTATAAATTGAAGAATTACCATGTAAAACAAATTTGGAAAATGGTGAAATGTTGTGTATCTTCATAACTTGTGAGTTATACAAAAAGCTTAATGGGTAATATACGAGCTTAGTTAGGGGACGCCAGCCCTGACATCCCTGAGAGGCAGGAGTTCCCGAGTCCTCTACAGGCCTATATAGCCGTCACGCTCCATAGTACAGATTGAGGATCAGCTCTTTAATCCTACTTTTGCGTGCCATACGTTCTCGATGTCGTAAACCACGCCACAGGATCTGGTCTCGACTCTCTGATCTCCCATTGTCCTGCAACAAGCCTAGTCCAGCATATATGACGGTTTTACACTTTCTCGTGCTTTCGATTCAATCTTAAGATTTCCAACGTGTATCCTACCCACGTGAATATCAAATGTCCAACGAAAACATATGCTTGCGGTGCTATCAGAGCTCCGGTATCGAATTCAGGGTCTGTCCATGCTGTTCCTGGATATAAGATCGCCGATAGACCTGCAAGAGCTGTCGAAGAGCCAACAACTGCCGCCACAAATACCAGGCTATTCTCCGTTTCAGAACTGTTCGCCCGTCTGCTGAGCAGATATACGACTAGAGCCGCGTTGATAGCCCCGACGGACATTGTTTGGCCATTGTGAAATTTTGCGTGAGGTGGCCACCGTGGGTTTAAGACATGCGTATGGCTCCAATCAGCTAGATATGCTGCTGATGCAAAAAGAATGCTGCTCGCAGCCATAAGTTTTCGAGGGACAGATACCAACGTAGTCTCCATTATGAAATTGCGTTTCAAAGAAGGTCGTTGACAAGGATGAACCTTAGCAGCCAGATATACGTAGGCATCTATCTCCATGTCTATATATATTCATTTCTGAGCGTCCGATATCGCTCGAATCGAATTACTCAGGTCTTTCAGGGCCATAAGTGTACCTTGTTTCAGCTAGATTTTTAGTTTGTGCATATATGTGAAAAACCTATCGACGGGCTGCCCATGTCTCTTCGCATAATTTATCTCGGTGGATTCTGGCTTATATATCTTTGTAGAACTTTGCTTTCTATTGCGTGAATGAATCCAAGAGAGCTAGATAAAACACCTCTATCATCGAATAAACTAAACATCTACTATTGGAACTAGAGAAAGTCAATATATGAGTAACTCGTTCACTCGCAACCAGGTAGTTACATAAATCGTATCAGCAAGCCCAATGGTATAGGTAAATTGCAGTAATCTGAGAGCCATGCATGGGCCTGTCAATTAAAAGTGCGGTAAACTTTGGGCCACAGGTGGGTTCGAGTATTGCCTTTAGCCTCGAATTGATTGGCCAAATTCAATCTGGGAGACTTAAAAAGCTCTAACGGTGCAAACACAAAGACATACAAAGATGGAGGACCCCAAAATGGTGTGAGGCGAGCAAATATCTCAGCACGCTTTATCTACATGTACTCCATAGCAACTAAGTCCAATGCGGTAGAATTCCGCGAGCTGAGCGCGCCATTGCCTATTGGTTGCAGCCCACGCTTTGATGTTTGTACGGTATGTTTAATAATCGCAGCTTCGTAAGTGAATGGGATGCCATAACATCATAATCTCCAATGAAGACAAAGGATCATAGAGATCTATAAATAGCACTGATACTTGTAATATTAAAGCACACGACCCCTGTGGAAACTATACAATGCGAAAAGAAAGGAAGGAAGTCGGCCTGTGTGAACAGTGCGTGTCAATCTACGATATCGTATAATCGCGAATTCTTAAATGCTGTCATAGATAGTTTGCTCATGCTTGTACTGGTTTCTAGTCACACCAATGCCCAAATTGGTGTTTCGGAAGTAAAGCGATTCTTAGGTCCCAAGTTATTTTCTCGTCTAGCTTCACGCTACTACGCTCCTATCGAGATATGGCAAGTTAAGGGGCTTTACATCCTCTGTCTTAGAAAGGTTATCTCTTCCTTCTCACTGTTTGACCTCAAAATGATAACTAGTCTTTCAATTCTTTACACAATGAAAAGAAATGTGCCGAAATCCTCTGATGCCATGGTTTTGGCAGTGCTGTTCTGATCTGCGCAGGAGCGAGTTATTCCAGTGGGCTGAATCTCGTAAACATAGATACGCGTGTCTTTCTAGATGCAAGCACAGTCCAAGCGTCATCTCATGTTGAAATCTGCCTTAAGAATCAAATTATAGATTACTCATAACATTTATGATCCTGACTGGCATCGATAGGAGCGGTAGTTCAAATGGTGGGACAACATAAAGACGGGACGGCACGAGACTAATCATAGTGTGGCAATAGAGGCATAACCAGGTTCAGCAGCAGAAGCACTCAGCGCTCAAAAGGGATATAATATACTAACTGGATCTAGTCGCTCTGTCTTGATCCAAGCCAACGGCGTCCCCTTTACAATTAAAAAAAGAAGCTCTCCCATATGCTTAAGTTGATAGGACCACCGACACTAGCGCGCCGTGTCAGATTTAAGCCCTGCTGTTTTAGTTGCAACAAGCCTAATGCACTGCATTGCCGCTTAGACTGGCTTTTAGCAACATCAAAATTTTGAAACTTGGGTGATCAGCTCTGCTGTTGAGACTTCCATTGGGTGTGAGGGTTGCTAGGGTCTAGAGTTGTCGCTTTGCTGTTATGTATTTAAGCTGCTGATAACCATGATCTAGAGATAGTCAATAATAGCTCTTCATTTCTTAGAGCTCTTACTACAATTTTGCCCCAACGTTCTGGCGGCTCAACTTTATTATCGACGGGTGCTTGTGACACTCATGACCTGAAAGAGACCATGGACACCAATTACGCATATGTTCCACGAAAACCAGTGCAAACAACGACATCTAGCATTGATTTCATATCGCAGGAAGGTGATCCGTCCGCTTCATCGTTAACTGGAGGTCAATACGACACGACGTATACCGGGGCCTCTGATTGGAGCCATCAGCCACTGTTGCCGCTCCCATCTGCCACAGTCAAGTCTCATCGAAGGCGACTCTTTTGGTGGGCTGTGAGATACGCTCTTATATTCATATTCATCTTCGTTATACTGCTCATTCCAATCATTGTACTCTCTGACCAAGGGGACCTCGATGATGACGCACCGATTGAAGCTATCATCGCAGCTCAGCGTGTCAACCTCGGCTTCTACATAGCTCTATGGTTGGAGATTACATGGGTTTTTGCAGCATTTTTTGATATCATCGGTCTTGTTCTACCATATCTTTTCCGGTTTATTGCCCGGTAGGTGCAATGGAATGGTATTGTCTGGAAGCCTACAAAACTAAGCCTTTTCCTTGCAGATATGTCAATTCAGCTCATCAGCGATACTGGCGCGTCTTTAAATTCATGCGCAGACCTATTTGCTTTCTTGGTACTACCGTTGCTGCATTTGTCTTCTTCAGCGCTGTATGAATGAACCCAACTCAGCCTTGCAAACGCTGTCTCACATCTTTTTTAGGCTATCCAAGACAACCCCATATTACTTGTTGACACGGATCCCGAGGCATGGTCAGACTGGAATAACGTCGTCAGTGATGTTCTTCAGCAACTTACCCTTTGGATGGCTTTCTACCTGATCGAAAAGGTGGCGATTTCCTATATTGCGATCCACTACCATTATCGACGCACTGGCACAACCCTAGAACGCACTAAAAACATCCAACAGGCGCTTATCATTCTATACGAAGCTTCCATATACCTCCATAAGGTCGGTGATCACACGTTCTCGGAGGAAGATGCCATCATACGGAACGCAAAAGGCGACATGAAACCCTCAGCTCGCGTACGCTTATCAAGCTATTTTTCCCGTCTTGGACTCGATAGCTACAAATTTGTATCACTTTTTGGAAACTTTATCTCAGACGACTCGGATTCTCACTGGCTGCGTCCTGGCTCATCTTACGGAACCATAGAACGTGCTTGGGCCAATCCTACGGCTGCGGCCGCACTGGCGCGACGTATTTGGCTGTCTCTTGTCCCAAGAGGTCAATATGGTCTATCAGAGAGCGATGTCCTCGAGATACTAGGTCCAAACCGCGCGGCAGAAGCAAAATCACTATTCACGGCAATTGATGCAAACGATAGCGGCTACATTCCACTAGATGATTTCGTGGGAATGGTAACTGAGGCCGGTAAACAGAAGCATAATATATTCAAGACTATTGCCGACATGGATCACTGTATCAATACACTAGACTGGCTGTTTCTACTTATCATCGCGGCAGTTATGATCTTCTTCATCAGTATGTTTATCATCTTTGCGTACAAACCTAGCTAACCATATTATAGTGCTGCTCTACGTTCCCGCCATCAAAGAAATCCAAAGTGTACTGTCTTCGCTCGCTATTGGCCTGTCGTTCGCCATTGGACGTACTATAAACCATTTATTGACAGGCATAATTTTCATCTTCTTTGATCACCCTTTCGACTCCGGCGACGTTGTGAGGCTTTGCACTCCCAACCTGAAAGATGGGATAGTCTGCACGGTTAAGCGCCAGTCGCTGACCTATACAGTTTTCCGTCGATTCGATAGCAACTCGGATCTTCAGATATCTAATGAAGAACTGGTCAGAAAGTCCATTGAAAACTTTACAAGATCGGAGATCAACAAACAGAGCATCACCATGTTTCTCGATTTTCGCACCAGCTTCAAAGACCTTAACAAGCTACAAGGCATGCTCGAAACTTTTATTGCAGACAATAATCGCGATTACGTACCTGGAAGCTTGGCATTCAACGTCACATCCCTCCACGAGTTGAATAAAATGGAAGTGCGGATAGTATTTACGCATCGAAACAACTGGTCCAATGAAAAGCTGCGATCAATGCGGAGCAATAAATTCCACTGCAATCTGATAGCAGCATGTCGCCAGATCCCTCTATTCAAGCCTGGCGCATTACTGCCTGGACCAGGCGAAAATGGAAATCCATTGTATACTGCGCAGCTTAGCGTGTCTGATGTTACCGAAAACATTCAGAAAGAATTGCAACGGCGACAAGGCCTAAGATGGGATAATGAAATGAAGAAAGAGGAGATAGGAGCGCAAAGGGAAGACAGCGATGAAGAGGTAGCAGCGAAGATCGAAGCTGCTAGGAAACAAGCAGAAGCTGCAAATGAGGTGAAGAAGACCGAAAAAGAGGCTTTTCAAAAAGTCTCGAGGTCTGTCCCACAGCCGCAGCCAGTCGCTTCTAGCACTGGAGTAAATGTGCCGAGAGCGACGTCTGGATTGCGACTAGCAGCGAGACACACTGAAGATGCCTAAGAGCGCCATTCTCTTCTTTCCTTCATGTATTCTTTCTTTCTATCTTTTAGATTTTACAGTAATAGAAATTGTCTTTAATAGATATAATATTATAATTTTCTAGTGATTTAGCGCTAGATTCAATCGGTTGATCGCACGGCTTGGCATCATTCGTTGATATCCTCTTATATACATCTTGTTTCAGCGACATGGTGGTAACTAGATAAATGGCAAATCTGTAACACCACTGGAGGCTGAAGTACTATCATTAGAAACATCCAACTTCTATTAGAGCATTTGTATCCTGTGCAAGTGAGTGGTGCGTGATGGATAGCTTTTAGGATAGTCAATATCCATGCAGAATCTATTCGCCGGTCAGAATAGATCAACCAGATTCGTGATTTGGAGTCGCTATGTTTCCACCAGATTTTCGGATTTGTACGCATTACTTGGATTTGTCGAATACGTTATACAGAGGAAAGAATTGCATCGAGAGGCAGGCTTCCATCACCGTGCCATAGCCCTTCAACCAGCCCTTTAAAAGTCTTCAAAAAGCCCTCCACTTCACAGCTCCCAATAGCACTACTATCATAGCGTATATCAATATGTATCTCCTCAGGAAGAGCCGCACAGCGGAATATCATTGGAAGGTCTTCAGTCTCTTCCAGCTTTACTTCTTCTTTCCCACCGCCAAATAGATCACTACCAGCTTCATTGATTCGGAATGCTTCATTCTCTATCAGTAGAATACTGCGAAGTTCCAAAGGGGGCGCTAGGGGCAATAGCCGTGGTAAAGGGAAATTCTCAAACTTCATACGATCCGTCAAGGATGTCTGGATATCCATGAGGATCTCACTACATGGTTTCTTATGTGGAAGATCCAGCTTCGTGGGTACAGTGAGCAGGGTCGGCCCCGCGATGCGATCAATGCCTGCTAAAGATGAGTTACGGCCGCTGAGAGATTCCAAGAAAAGAACTGAGCCCGCACGGCCTGTCGAAAAGTGCGAAAGTGTTGCGCCATACGCAACGCGTATGACGTTTGCGATGGTTACGGATCGTGAAACCTCTGCGTTGCGGAGCTGCATTTTCCTCGATGCAATTTTGACGCTTGCCAAGACACGATCCATGCTCGACGGCTTTTCTTGAGATGATAAGGCAGGGAACTTCGTCCATGCTGCATCAAGTAGATGGTTTTTCCAGAAAGCCTCTCCCTCGGACAGATCTTTCTCTCCGATGCTCCTAAGGTATCGGTTGAATGGAGTAAATGGGACTAGCTCAAGCCCATAGTATAAATTTCGCACTGCTTGAAGGAGCATAGGTAAGGAGTACCCATCATAAATGGCATGATGAATCGTCCAAACGAAAACGTTCTCAGAATTACCATTTTGAACAATAGCATAACGGCTCAACGTTGCTGCAAGGCCCATAGGATCAAGAAGATCTTGACTCAAATAGGCTTCCAATGTTTCGTTGGTGTGAACCACTTTCACCGGATGAAATTTAATGATTGCTTGGAAGAGCTCTTTACTACCAGTGGCGATTATCTTTGCGCGTAACAGGTCTGTAGCTTGCACAACGGAGTTGAGGGCCATAATGAATCGCTCAAGATTCACGTCGCTTGGGAGCAAAAAGCGATACTGATCAATCCATGCAGTTGGCTTGACCAACGTTTTCCCATACCACCTCATTTGACTAATCGTCATGGGCAAAACATCTTCTATTTCGTCAATTGGCAGCTTGCAGAGTGCAGCAGCTGTCCCCCGAAGCTCGTTTGAACGACTCCCTAGCAACTCAAATGGCTTGATGTCCTGTTCAGGGCTTCCCTCCCCAGAGTCATTTGCAAGCTGCGCCTGCACACACAAGACCGGATTTGAGAGAATAAGAGCCGATGTTAGCGTAATACCACGGCTACGGGCTAATGCTATGAGCTTTATGCTGGCCACTGAATCCCCTCCAAGCTGGATGAAATTGTCATCTGGCCCAATAGCCTTTGGCTCCATATTGAGTACAGTCGCCCATAACTCACTGAGAGCCAACTCTTTAGCAGATAACGCTCTATATCTGGTTGCAGTATTATCAGCTTTTCTAAGTTTCCGTAGCTCATCAGAAGCCAAGGACTGGATTAGCTGTCGCAGCATTAGACGATTTGTCTTGTGCGAGGTCGTCAGAGGGATGAAGGTTATCGGTACGTATAGAGATGGCACCATCGCTTTGGGTAGCACCGTTTCAAGATGCGCCTGCATACCAACAGCCATCTCTAGTGTAGTCTCCACTTGATTCCAGCAGATCTCGGGGCTGGCATGGCCTGGTATTTGCATAGATTCACTTAGAAAAACCACAATAGCACCGCCATCGCTGAAGTGGGGGCTTTCAGCTTTCTCAATACAAGACTTCAACCCCGCAGCCAGAGCCGGGGCCAGCCTCGCCTCGATCTCGGTCAGCTCCAAGCGCTGTCCGTGCACCTTAGCCTGCGTATCTTTGCGGCCAACAAATACGATATCGCCGCTGTCGGTCCGTCGAACCAAGTCTCCCGTTTTGAAAACGCGCCGGACGCCGGACCGAGTACACATGTCGACAAAAGCGGCCGCTGTTTTCTGGTCATCGCCGAGGTAGCCTCTGGCCAATGTGTTCCCCTCAATGACGAGTTCCCCAGTCTGGCCCCGGAGAACTGGTTTGTTGTGATCATCCTCATGGACAATCCACAGATTGCAACCTGTTGGGTGCCCAAGGAGGCCTGACGAAACAACTGCAGATCCAATGCTCAACCGTGCTCCTGAAGATTGTATCGAAGCTTCAGTCGGGCCGTAAGCAATGTAGATTTTGACGTAGGGGCTCCATAGTCTGATCAAGTCACTTGGAACTGCCTCTCCACCAGTGACCAACATCCGGACAGCAGGCACTGTGGTGGGATCCAGTAACTTTGCGTAAGACGGAGTTAGCATCAGAGTGTTGACGTCGATTTCGTTGATGAATTTCTCTATTCCGTTAAATCGATCGTCTTCCGTCGGCACACAAACGCAGCCGCCAAAGATGAGCGTCGTGAATATCTCCATTAGAGACATATCAAATGCGTATGAGGCGAATTGCAAGACTCTCGAGCTGGAACTCAGCTCCTGGTCTTCTCCATACGCAAACGCGGACGTTAACCAGGCTCTGTGCTCAATCATAACTCCCTTTGGGCGGGCTGTGCTCCCCGATGTGAAAATGACGTACATCAGGTCACTTGGAGACGCAGTAACCAGCGTAGTATACGACACATTGACGGAATCTAGCCCTAAAAACATCTTGTTGAATATTTCGATAATTCGAAGTCCAGCAATGTTTTTGAATCGCGGAATTTGTTCAGTCGAGAGTAAAAGAACAGGGGCTTTGACGTCTTCGATAATCTCCAATAGTCTTTTAGTCGGATGAGACACATCTAACGCAGTAAATGCGCATCCAGCTTTCAAAATGGCGATCATAGAAACAATAGTAATAGCGGACTGTATGAAAGTGTGAGGACGGAGCAGAAAGTGGTCAATAGGAACAGACATACTTTTTCGCAGATGATTGGCACTATGGAGTTGGAGCCAATTCCCAAAGATGTAATTTGTGCGGCGAGCCATGAAGAGGCCTCATCAAGATCTTGATAAGTAAGATTGACCGAGGCCGAAACGATTGCCTGAGCACTTGGACGAGCGATAGCATGGGTCTTGATAACATCGTGGACTAGTTTATTGACTGTCGGAGGAGGCAGTGGCATGTTTTCAGCTATCAAAGCTTGATGATAGCTGTCAGATCCAAGTTGCGCCATGGGATGTGATGCCAGTTGAAACTGTCTTTTTTTTTGCAATTTAACTCCAATATTCTGAAGCGGCATGAGCTTTACTAGCTGCTGTACTTTGGAAACGAGTAATAATGAACCAGTAATGAACCCAAAGGCGAGATGTAGTGGTTTCTTCTGGGGGTCACTGCACGGAATTGGTCAAATATTGTTCACGAGATTATTCTAGAGAGGCCAAGCACGAGCGCATGATACTGTCATATGCCTTTATACTAATCCCCATAAACCGTTACGCATTCTCGTTCCATTCAAATTTAGTACTCCTGGCTTCTTATGTACCTACTTGTCTACTGTGGTGGGTGTTGTAAAGGGCATTTGTGCTCGATCCAACAACATCAATAAATGTTACAAGAGACTATGCACGTCATTGTTAAGTGTCCTCCATGAAGATAAAGGGGGTCCACAGAGCTTGTGGCGTGAAGCATCATGTGAATAAAGATGTTGTTGAGCTCACGATAAGGGACAACAAAACAGTCCGAGCTCCGTTCGGGATCGCAACTCAATGGGCCACTATGATACCATTTCCAGCCCACGTTTCCAGTCTTTGCCACCATTCTCCATTCAAGCACGCAATAGAATTAAGTCTAAGTTAGAGACGGTACTTTGGGTTCTTATAATAGGTCATTAATGCAATACGCTAGGCAGCAATACAATCCTAATGGGCCATCCTCCACTTCATGCTCTGGCGCTATAGCCATATAATGGCGTTGCGCTACTATTGTTGTAACTAACCCTCCGCTCGTCAGCGTTTTGGATTATATACTGTGGTTCTCTCTGTGGGGAGACGCGCTAAACCAGACAGCAGACCAGAACTCGAGCCACTGCTCGACCATGCCAGCGTTAACATTGTGGGATTTAACGCTCGGATGAGCCGAATATCTGGGGTTATGATAACGACTTCTCAAAAAATATATAAACGTTAGAATGTTCACTATTATGCATACAATGAACTTCCCTGGTGATGAGAAACTTATGCTCAACCACCACAACACTTATACACCATTTAATGCAAGATGGCTACTATTCTAAATTTCCTACCTTGGCTAGCCGCTATTAGTCTATTAGGCAGCCTATACTACCTATGGTACCGCATCTTCTCGTACCAGGGCATTCCAAAGACTCTGGCCTTTGCCAATTCTGACGGGTCTCTCTTGTCTCGAGCTCGATCTTCCTTGAGTTCAGTCTTTGGGGTCAACAGTCTCTTATTGGCTGGTTACCGAGATGTAAGATGAAGCATATTGATAGTTTATCTGTAAAAGCTAACAGCTTCAACAGCATTCAAGAAAAGGACGGCCTTATATCCTTCCTGATGTTTTCACGGGGCATCATGTTATTTTGCCCGCAGAGCAGCTTCAGTGGTTGCTCAAGCAGCCCGACAACGTTCTCAGTCAGCGCGAGAGCAATAACGAGTTTCTCGCTGCGAAACACACATTCTTGAACTGCGTCGCCGCTGATGATCAGGAGTGGACATTTGTTGTCAGCCTTATTAAGACTATGACCAGTCAATTGAACAACCAGACCGATGATGCTGTTGATGAGATTCATGCGGCATTGGACGACTTATGGGGCAATGACACAACAGACTGGAAACAAGTTGATCTCTTTGACGTCTGCTTAGCGCTGGTCAGTCGCGTCGTCAGTCGCATATTTGTCGGGCTGCCACTCTGCCGGAATCCGACATATCTTGCCAGCTCGACAAAGTTCGCCAAATTCATCTTGATCGAAGCACTTCTTGCACAGTTAACACCCAAGCCTTTGAGGCCACTCCTGGCCCCCTTTCTGGCGAAATACGACTGGATTCAGTTCAAGCGTTTGGACCGCTGTGTCAACCCGGTCATTCGAGAGCGCGCAGCAAGATTTGGTAAGATGACAGACGAAAAGCCAGATCCAGATCAGCCCAATGATCTCCTATCTCGTCTCATGAAAGAGAGTTTTAGCCGCAACGATGATCCATGTCGTTCGCAGAGCCATACCACAAAACTTTTGGCCGTACTCAACTGGGCAGCCATTCAAGTTCAAGGTATTACTCTCGAGAATACACTGATCGATATCGCCCACTCTCCACAATCTGCGGAAATCCAACGCCAACTGCGCGAAGAAGCTTTAACTGCTGATGGCGCCGACCCATCGGTACGCTGGACTCGAGTCCAAGTATCCAAGATGTTAAGGCTTGATAGTGTCTTCACTGAAAGTCTTCGTTTATGGGGGTTTTCTCATGGCGTCATCAAAGTCGTGGTGGCAAAGGAAGGTGTTGACCTTCCCACAGGAGAACATATACCCTACGGTGGAAAAATTGGCATTGGAAGCTATGGCGTACATCATGACGAGGAAGTGTACCCGGGAGAATCTCCATTCACCTTTGATCCTTTCCGCTTCTTGAACGAGAAGGCGGAAAAGCAACAATTGGGGACAAAATTTGCATCTACCAGCCCCAACTACTTGGCGTTCAGCCATGGCAAATATGCTTGGTAATATTTTGAGATTCCTTGAAATGAAACGTTGCTAACTTTTAAAGTGTTGGACGATTCTTCGCGAACCATATACTCAAGCTGCTCTTATCGCAGATCTTGCTACGCTATGATATTAAGCCTGACGAAACCCCTCGGCCGCAAAATCCTGTAAGTCATGCGTACCTTGATTTGACACATTGAACGACTTGTTGTTTTATTTCTTCTGCAAATTTCAGCCAATCTTCTTTATTTCATCCCAGTTTGCTAACTTAAAGTAGTGGTTCAGCTATGTCTCCCCGCCACCCATTGGGTACAAAATATCTGTCAGAAGAAGAAAAGATTAGTTAGTCTTTTAAATGACCTGGCAGTATTTTGGTGCCACTTTGCTCTTTCCCGATTATTGAAAAACAACAAATTTCGCCTTTTTTTCAGCAACTCCGCCAGCAATACCCCTTTGTTTATTACAGTTTGGCTGGTCCGATAACGTCCATCAGCCCTGAAGGCTTAAAGTGACCATTTGATGCATCTTATATAAAACCGAAGAAAAAGACAATGATTGGCAGACATACTCTGTTGATTAGATACAAAAAGCTAGGTCCTGTTTTCCATAAAGTACTAGATTAAGATAGTCATTTAGGGTATAGATAGTGTATTGTATCATCTTTAAAACCATGTTTCTTCGCTTGATGGGAGGCAAAGTTACTCTCGTATTAGTAAAACAAGTTAGCAATATTGCCTGCCATTCACAAAATTAGTCACAGGAAGTAAATAAACAACGTCAGACTGAGGAGTAAACTATCATCAGCCCTTTCTCAAATTAGAGTTACATAACAAATTTCTTCTGATTTATCTATATTACGGTATTGTATAAGCTGACCGATCAAACCTAACGCCAGGATCATAAGGATGCTATACTTGATAATATCCCATTACCACATCTTCTGCCAATCTTTGCATAGGCCGAAGAAAGAACGACAAAATTTCCCATATTCAACTATGAGATTCGTGTGATGCCATGAGCCCATAGCCTTATGAGCAAGTCGAGCATTAGGATCGTCCAAAGGTTTCTCTCCCATTCTGCTGGGTTGTTCATCCGTTGGGCTTTCATGATATCATGTTAGCAAGTTGCCTTTTTGGAAGCTCATGGAAAATGAAAAGCACAAGTAAGCATACCTGAATCCTGTTATTGGAAGAATTAAGACGTCGCCCACCAGCTTGGTCTTCCCACCGTCGTTTAAGCCAGTCAATGCGTTCCATCTCAAATCGTCATGCTCTTCCAACCACCAATTAGTAGCTTCTGTAACGGCAACAGGGCCTGTGCGTGTTACTGGATCATAGTGTAGCTCGGACAGGCTAGTACCCGGGTGTTTTAGAACCCTGTCTCTGGCTTCGGCAGCTTTTTCCTTCAGACAGTCCAAGAAATACTGCAGTATGGGATGGTTGGAAGCAGATGCAAATGCCCAATTTGTAAGCTGCACAGGATATGTATATGCCATGCGCCAGTGAGCATTTGTATTCGGGTCTGTATCGCATTCAATCCCCCAAATTGCGTCCACTGGCAGAGATTGTCCGGAGTTTTTGTCTATATTTGTCAGCGTTGTATCATTCAAGCCATATGACTTCCCAGTCATTTCATCAGTCCATTCAGATATATCAGCCGAATCGATCCATCGAGATGGGTGTTTAAGCGCTTTCGTGTCGACGTCGCCGTACTGATCGATGGGTTAGTAGGTGAACTCTTTGGAGTATGAAATAACAAAGTGTAAAGGCCAGACTTACAATACCTCCAAACCATTTACACACTGCAATACGGAAAATATCCACCTTTTCCACAGGTGAGAACACCTCAACAAAATCGTTGACCAGATCATGCTCATACTCTTCCATTAGTGACAAAACCCCCTCATTATCCCATAGAAAGTATGCCATTTCACTGGATCCTGGAGGAGGAGAGATGGCGTCTATCAGCCATGTCTCTATGTAGGAAAGGATCATCTCGTTTGTGCCAAGTAGCTGGGTAGTATCCCATTTTTGATGCATCATGAGGGGAATATTTGAGAACGGAATATGGCGCTCGGGATGAGACTCGACGACTTTTGACGCTAACCGGACTGCTTCGATTATGTTTTCGGGGGTTGACTGATTGTTGTCGACCCAACTTGGGGGAATGTGCCATGCTAATGGAAGCTATTTGTTAACATAGCTCTCATGGGCTGGATTGTGGCATCAGAATGTCAACTTGGCAGTAGACTGTGTCAAATTTACCTCCTCCTAGACCTTTCCTGAAGGCGTGAATATGTTTGTATGTATATGGATATTTGCGACTGAATTCTGCCTCATCTGATATCCGCACAGGGCCAGACTTGTGAGCTGATAGAAGCCAGATCGTTGTGAAGAGCCCGATAACTGATGAAACCAAGACTCGTAACCTTAACCTCCGCCATCGAGGCTGGGTATTCATGATCGAGATTCTAGGAAAAAGAGACATATCATGCGGATTGTTCCCCTTTCAATAAGGGTAAAGGTAGGAGAAATACAACCTGATGATCTCACATCAAGAAAAATTGCGTAGTAACTGGGACAGGTTCCCTTTTAAAGTGACTACCTGTTGGTCTAGGTTCCACTATGAGAAGCCAATTGTTCAGGGCTGAAGTGTCCCTAGATTTTGGTGACCAAAAGCTTAACTAATAAATATTACAGAAGCAGGCTATCTACCTAAACTTACAACCACAAACTCTTTGAGAGTGGATTCAACTGTAATTAGAAAACGTATGGAAATTAAGTTAGGCTTTACGATTTGGTGATAGAAGTCTTGCTATCAGGGGTAGGCATATTACAACACGGAAATTTTCACATAACACGCCTCACGATCACCCACACGTATGCAAAGAGCTTGAAGTTTACTCATCTCTGGCACCAATGGCTAATGCCCTGTAGGACACGCGTCGTACATCCTTGCCTTTAGTGGAGCTACTGCAGCCAAGTTGCGGTTACTGTACCCAAGCTGCTGCGCACTATCATAGCAACAGCCCGCTAATGGAACACGGTTGGCTCTCGGACTTGTCCCAAAACAGAATTCAACACTCCAAATCGATACAAGTCATTTGGTGAATACTAGAAATCCTAGATCTAGCACCAGGAATATGACCGGACTTGAAGGGGCCCCCAAGTGCTGATCTAACAAGAAGCTTGGCAAACTGAATCTTTGTCCGGATCGGATCGAAGCGAAATATAGAGCCGCCTCTACGCTGTACTAGTGAGGTTGCGAATCCTAGAGACGCGCCAGATGTTAAAGAATTGCAAAGTACACCGCATAGATAAAGCCTAAACGCTACAAGTTACCTCACTATCTCGATTTTAATACAAAGAGTAGCTTGACATACATAAACACTTTACAAACGGTTGGTAATGGCATCTATTAATAGGTGGTCTTTGGCTGGCACTACGTGCGTGTACGTTTCCCGTAATACAGGCCAGCGCTCTTTTGAAGATGGTATCATTCTATATGTATAATAGGAAAAACAGATTTAAAATACAAAACTGTTTACAGGTGGAAAAAATGTGCGCGTGTAATACTCCGTAGGCGTCGTCATCGTCATCGTCATCGTCATCGCTGTTGCTGCCATTGTTGCATTTGCCGTCAGTGGATCACACTAGCCTCGATCAATACCTAGGTAAGATGAGATTAAAGGAGTAAAAGATTCAGCAGAGACTGTGTAAATGCACAGAGAGAAGCCATGTCTATTGGGTGCCAGCGACAGCCAAGGAAAAGTAAAGAAGAGAGAGGGAAAGCAGAAGAAACAATCTGTAAATGAATGGGGAGCGAAGCCCTACACACTTGCTTAATGGTTTCAACGCTGTCGGTCTCAGTCTTGTGTCAAGTAAATTTACCTATAGCATCCTTTGCGCTAGGAAAAAAAAAAAGAGACAGAGACTATATAACAGGTATCGCCACTAACATTATATATCGTCTGCATTCATCTACCACCTACATTCCAGCTAGCGAGATTAAAAGCCTAGCTCAGGTCAATCTTTGACCCCCAAGATGTAGGCTGGCTACTCATCTCAAACTCAATCCTCCTAGCTTTTACAATCTCGCTATGCAGTAGCACAGGCTGGTGTATACTCTTGCCGTCTACTTTGAGAGACTTGACATAGCTTTTACCCTCAGTCCCTGCTCCAGGTGCAGAAATTACCAGCGCCTGCCCTCCTCCCAAGGGGCCCTTTGGTAACACTATCGTGACCTCGTCGAAAAATGGCGTCCCCACGATATACTCGTCGCTTGCAGGATTCACTGGGTAAAATCCCAGTGCTGAAAAGATATACCAGGCGCTCATCTGTCCCAAGTCTTCGTTGCCACTCAATCCGCTTGCTGTAGCATTATAGTTGGCCCAAGCAATACTGCGCACCTGCTCTGCCGTGCTAGAGGCATATCCGATCGCAGAGTACAGATATGGCACATGATGTGATGGTTCATTACTTTGCATGTTGTGGCCTCCACCAAAGTGTGCATCGAGCTTGGACTTCATGCCCTTCTTCCCGTCTTTAAAGAGTGCTGCTAACCCATCAACGTCGTGCATCACGTCGAATGTATAAACCCAATTATCCCCTTCCGTCCATCCCCAGCTGTCTAGGGCAAACGTGCCATTGTTATTGCGTGTCTGCATGAATTCTGTCTCTGAATTCCACAGCTTGGCGTAATTCTTCGAGCGCGCCATGAGTTCTGTATAAGATCCATTGTTGCCCGAGTGCGCAGCCACAACAGCACAAGCATAGTCATTGAATGAATAGTCCAGCGTTCGGCTTGCAGCTTCAGACCAATGGTCATTGTCCACCCATCCATGCTCAAGATAGCTGGTCAGACCTGCGCGCGCTTCACGAGGAGTGAATGGTTCCCTGTCATAGTATAGAAGCTCGGTATCGTTGTCGGGAGGTTTATAGGCATCAGTTTGAACAGCCTTCCAAGCGTTTGTAACATTGAAGCCTCGGAAACCTCGAATGAGCGCGTTTGCAAGTACAACGTCTGCGTTGGTAGCGATCATTATGTTGGTTTCAACTAGGTTGGCCCACAGCGGCAGGCGCCCAGTCCAATCGAATATACGTAACAATGTACGCATCATTGAGTCAACGCGCTCTGGTACAAGGAGAGCTAATAGAGAATGCTCAGCTCGGTAGGTGTCCCAAATGGACCAAGATTGATAGTATGAGTCTTGCTCTGCGTGGACGCTATCCGTATAACCGCTATAAAATAGGCGTGTTCCGCCACTGGCGATTGTAGTGGGCTCAGAGAAATCGCTGGGATACTGCAGCGCGTGAAATAGAGCTGTGTAGAAAATGGTCCGCTGGTCGTGTTCTGAGTCTGTCTCGTTCACGCCTGTCACCGTAATGCGACCTAATTTCTCCAGCCACGCTGCCTTTGCGTTCTCGACGGTGGTATCGAATGATGTGCCATCGGGAATCTCGATGTCGAGATTCCTTCGAGCCTGATCAACACTTATATAAGACACTCCCGTCCGCACTTCCACGCGTTGAACAGCCCTGTTAAACTTAACATAGCCCCCAACGAATTTGCCGTTTATCGTTGTCTTTCCTTCTAGGACTTTTCCGCCCTGGGTAACGCCATAGGACTCAAAAGGCACAGAGAACCGCGAGACGAAGAACATGTTGAACGACTTGGGGCGATCCGGACCTAGGTCGTAATCATGCCTTTGAGGATTGCTGCCAGAAATCTCGCGGTGGGCTTCATCGATGTCGATGTGGCCGGTCCAATTGAGCCGACTTGCTTGGATAAATACAGATGGCCGCTGCTTGTTTTCGTTGTCGAAGTCGATGCTCAAATGGCCCACGTGCGCAGACGCGCTCATCGCTACCTGAATCGAGCTCTGCTTTCCACCGGCCGAGCCAGAATTGCTGGAGGAAGCCCTCGGTGAGTATCTCCCCAGCACATCGCCAGCATCGATATCCAAGCTCCTCCTCGTGCGACCATTTGCCCCATCTCTGACGGTATCTGATACTGGGGCGGCTCCTCCCGGGCAAGGCGGGCATTGGTCTCCGAACTGCTCAGCGGCTGCTTGCTCGGTCAGATTCCATCCGAATTCACCTGCTGACGTCGCGTCGAGCTTCACTTCATAGACATATGGCGTGCTACTCTCATCGCTCTTCTTGAATGCCAGTCCTCGTTTTTGAAAGAGCGGCTGAATCTCATCGCCAAGTCCTGGCATAAGTGTAACGTGCCCATTTTCACCCATCCAGATCGCCGGTTGATGCGTCGCTTGGAAACCGTGGATTCGATCGTCCCAGTTCGAATAAGGCACTTGGGAGATGTAATTCTCGCGTGTTTGCGGCGTCCAGCGCGTCATCGCGAACGGAGGAGCAACCGATGGGATCATGCCGCCATTATCGTTTGGATCGCCGCCTTGAGTGCCAATGAAAGGGTTGACATATTTGAGGCTCCCAGCATTCGCGTGGTAAGAGGCCGCTTCGCTTGTCTCATCAAGGCGTGGGAGGTTTTCGGGCCCTGTCGTGGCTTCTGCGAAGAGCTTCAACGATAGCACGAGCAGTGCCGAAGGAACGGGTAGCGTATGCATGATTCCAAGCGCTGCTTTAACCCAAATCGCGACTAGATACGCTCCGAAACCGTTAAGCAGGGAAATGCAACAGTTGTTAATATCTTGCTCATGAGTTAATGGTATATATGAGAATCCCGAGTTAGCAAGGTGTGCTCATAACAGGACCATCGTGCTCCAACACAATGAAGCAAACAGCGCTCTGTAAAGATGGAAGCAGCATGTTTCGGCAGCGTCTCGCCATAATGAAAGACTAATATACCATGTATTTGTATGTATGTCTTAACACTGCTCGGTCCAATAGTCGGCGAGCGTGAGCATTCGCGACAAAAGCTAGTATTTATGATCTAGCACGATTGCATCGAACCAGCACCCATTTAGGCAGCTCAAGATGTATATCGCTCCCACTTTTTGCGGGGTAGTACATACTGATGTACGTGCACCAAGGGGGTGCCTTTCTACCTCGACAAACTCAGGAAAGAAAACCTTTGACTACCCTGAAGCGAGAAGCCTGTAGGTAAATTCAAGCAAGATTGCAGGATAATAGAGCATTTTATAAATCATACTGTCTCTTGACTTCTTGGAAAGAGGGAGAGGAGTAAGTTTTAACAATCCCAATCCCATCCATTTGAATGTTAGCTTGGTCAGTTATAAGCAGGGTTGTAAATTAGTTACTAATAACTAAAACTAAAACTAATTTTTTAGTTACTAATATTTTAGTAACTAATTATTTAGTTATTAGTTTAGTTACTATAATAACTAAAACTAAACTAAATAATTAG